ACAGTTTTGGAAGTGCTAGCAATAGCAATTAGACAAGAAGAAGAAATAAAAGATATCCAACTTGGAAAAGAAAACGTAAAACTGTCATTATTCACAGATGACATGATACTATACGAAGAAACCCCTAAAGACTCCATCAAAAAATTATTAGACTTGATAAATAAATTTGGCAATGTAGCAGGATACAAAATTAACACCCAGAAATCTATTGCCTTTTTATACACCAATAATGAACTCACAGAAAGAGAAGCAAAAAAAAAAAAAAAAAAAATCCATTTTCCATTGCACCAGAAAAATTAAGATACCTAGTAATAAACTTAACTAAAGTTGTAAAAGATCTGTACTCAGAAAACTACAGGATATTGAAAAAAGAGATAGAGGAAGACATAAACAAATGGAAGAACATACCATGTTCATGGATTGGTAAAATCAACATTATTAAAATGTTCATACTACCCAAAGCAATCTATAAATTCAGTGCAATCTCCATTAAAATACCAACAGTGTATTTCAAAGATCTAAAACAAACTCTCCAAAAATTCATCTGGAATAAAAAATTTTTTAAAAAAGGCCCTGAATAGCCACAGAAATCCTGAGAAAGAAGAACAAAGTTGGAGGGATCACAATACCAGATATCAAGCTATATTACCAAGCCACGGTTCTCAAACTACCTGGTACTGGCACAAGAACAGACCTATAGACCAATGGAACAGAGCAGAGAACCCAGAAATCTACCCAAGCCATTACACTCAATTAATATTTGACAAAATAGGCAAGAGCATGCAATGGAGTCAAGACAGTCTCTTCAATAAATGGTGCTGAGAAATTTGGTCAGATACATGCAAAAAAAATGAAACTAGATCACTAACTTACACCATACACAAAAACAAACTCCAAGTGGCTAAAGAACTTAAATGTAAGACGGGAAACCACAAAAATCCTACAAGACTCCATAGGCAGCAAAGTAGCAGACATATGTCATAGCAATATCTTTACAGACACAGCTCCTAGGGCAATGGAGACTAAGGAGAAAATAAAGAAAAGGGACTACATCAAAATAAAAAGCTTCTGCAGAGCAAAAGAAACAATTAAAAAAAAAAAAAAAAAAAAAAAAAGCAAGAAAGCCCACTACATGGGAGAACATATTTGCCAATGCTATTTCAGGTAAGAGTTTAATCTCCAAAATTTACAGAGAACTCATACAACTCAACAAAAGGAAGATAAATGATCCAATCAAAAAATGGGCAAAGGATCTAAATAGAGACTCTTTGAAAGACGACATACAGAAGGCCAGGAGACATGAAAACATGCTCAAAGTCACTAATCATCCAAGAGATGCCAATTAAAACAACAATGAGATACCATCTCACACCTGTCAGAATGTCTGTCATCAACAAATCAACAAATGACAAGTGCTGGTGAGGATGTGGAGAAAAGGGAACCCTCTTGCAGTGCTGCTTGGAATGCAGACTGGTGCAGCCACTGTGGAAGACAATATGGAGCAGCGGTTCTCAACCTGTGGGTTGCGACCCCTTTGGGGGTCGAATGACCCTTTCACAGTGGTCGCCTTAGACCATTGGAAAACACATATATCATTACATATTGTTTTTGTGATTAATCACTATGCTTTAATTATGTTCAATTTGTAACAATGAAATTGTGGGTCACCACAGCATGAGGAACTGTATTAAAGGGCCGCGGCATTAGGAAGGTTGAGAACCACTGGTATGGAGTTACTTCAAAAAGTTAAAAATGGTGCTCCCATTTGACCCAGTAATCCCACGTCTAGGACTATATCCCAAGAAACCAGAAAAACCAATCAGAGAGGATATATGCACCCCTATGTTCATAGCACAATTTACAATAGCTAAGATTTGGAAACAGCCTAAGTGCCCATCAGCAGATGAGTGGATTGAAAAACTGTGGTACATCTACACAATGGAATACTATGCTGCTATAAAAAAGAAGGAACTCTTACCATTTGTATCTGCATGGGTGGAACTGGAGAGCATCATGCTAAGTGAAATAAGCCAGTCGGAGAAAGATAAGTATCACATGATTTCATTCATATGTGGAATATAATGATGAACATAATTTGATGAACAAGAATAGATCTAGAGACAAATGGCGGGGGGGCGGGTGTTTAGAGAGCAACCAAAGGACTTGTATGCATGCGTATTAGCATAACCAATGGACACAGACACTGGGGTGGTGGGGGCTGTCCGGGGTGGGAATGGCTGGGGGTGGAGGGGTCAGTTGGGGAAAAAGAAGACATCATGTAAAACTTTAGACAATAAAAAAAAAATATGTTAATCCTTTTTATCCATAAGCACTGTATATGCTTTTTATTTATTTGTGTCTTCTTCAGCTTCTTTCTTCAATGCCTTATAATTTTTTGAGTACAGATCTTTTACCTTCTTGCTTGAATTTATTCCTCGGTATTTTTTTTGTACAATTGTAAATGGGATTGTTTATATAATTTCTTTTTCTGATAATTTGTTATTCGTTTATAAAATGCAACCAAATTTCTGAATATTTTTTTTATCCTACTTTGATGAATTAGTTTATTAGTTCTAAGAGTTTTTTGTGGAATCTTATAGGGGTCTCTATATATGATATGTCATCTGCAAATAATGACAGTGTTCTTCCTTTCCAATTGGATGCATTTTATTTCTTTTCTTTTTGCCTGATTGCTGTGGCTAGAACTTTCAATACTGTGTTGAATAGAAGTGGTGAAAGTGGACACCCATATCTTATTACTGATCTTTAAGAAAAATGCATTTAGCTTTTCACTGTTGAATATGATATCACCTGTGGGTTTGTCATATATGGCTTTTATTATGTTGAGGCATATTTCCTGTAGTCCCACTTTGCTGAGAATTTATATCATAAATGGATGCTAGATTATGTCAAATACTCTTTAAGCATCTTTTGATATGATTATATTATTTTTATCTTTTTAAAACATGTTTTTATTGATTCTTGGGGAGAGAGAGAGAGAGAGAGAGAGAGAGAGAGAGAGAGAGAGAGAGAGAGAAATCGATGTGAAGTGAGAGTGAAACATCAGTTGTCTGCATCCTACACACTCCTTACTGGGAATTGAACCTACAGCCCAATCATGTGCCCTGATTGGGAATTGAACCAGCGACCTTTTGGTGCACATCAGCCAGGGCATATCCTTCATTTTGTTCAAGTGGTGTATCATGTTAATTGATTTGTGGATATTGAAGCAACCTTGCAGCCCAGAAATAAATGCTACTTGATCATGGTGTATGATCTTTTTAAAATATTGCTGGGCCCGATTTGCTATTATTTTATTGAGGACTTGTGTGTCTGTGTTCATCAGGGATATTGCCTTATAATTTTCTTTTTTTGTAATGTCTTTGTTGGAATCAGGGTAATGCTGGCCCCTCATAAAATGAGCTTGGGAGTCTTCCTTCATCTTGAAATTTTTGGAATAATTTGAAGAGGATCAGTGTTAATTTCTCTTTGAATGTTTAGTAAAATACACCTGTGATGCCATCTGCTTGGGACTTTGTGCCCTGACCAGGAATCCAACCATTACCTCCTGGTTCATAGGTCAGCATTCAACCACTGAGCCATACCAGCTGGGATGTTGTGAGTTTTTTTAATTTTCTTTTAACTTTTATTATTGAGAATACTAGAGGCCCGGTGCACTAAATTCAGCAGCAATCAAAGCACGAGTGTCTGGCGTGGAAGGGTAGGTCCTAGCTGACCTCTGGGCCGTAGCAGCACCTGGGACCCAGGGCCTCCACGCGCCCCCCTCCACCTGAGTCAGGGCGCCTGAGTCCCCACGTGGAGATGCAGTGAGCGCAGCCCGACTCTGCGGCCCTGGGCACAGCATGGGCCTCTGGGCTGCACAGTGGCACCTCATGGAAGCCAGGCAGGCAGCGCGCTTTCTCCCACCGGCCTCGCAGACCAGCTCCTGCACTAACCCATGGGGAATCCGATCTGCCCCTGTGGTCCCAGCGGCTGTGGTGTGGCTCTCCCAGAAGAGGCTGCTCGGGTGTCGGGGAGGCTCCTCATGGGCGCCCGGCACCTGAGTGCAGGGGCTTCTCCAGCATGCAAGCCCTTGTGTCCTGGAAGAGGGTAGCGGAGGAGTGAGAGCAAGCTCAGCGGACACCCTGCATTCTCACCACACCTCTGTCCCTGTCAGCCTCTCTCCAGGTAGCCAGCGAGAGGTCACAGCCCCCCGCCCAGGCACCGTGGGAGGTTGGTCACCACCACCCACCCCCAGTTCCCCATCCCAGCCTGGGGCCAGGCCCCCATCGGGCGATCAGGGCCTGCCTGTTGCTGATCTGCTGGGCAGTCAGTCGGGGCTGGGTTCCCTGCCCAGCTACTTCAGCACCTGGGAACAGGGCAGCAGCCCTGCTGCTGCCACTGGTCACCGTCTGCGGGGCAGTCAGCGGGGCGATGGGGCCCCCTCTCACACCTGCCTTGGCCTGGCACAGCCTGCTCACCTGCTCCACCATCCCGCTGCGGTCCCGCTCTCCTCAGGGCCCGTGGGGCTGGCAGCACCTCCACTGCCGCCCCAGCATCATGTAGCTGGCGCCCGCATGTTCTGTGCCCCCCCTGGTGGTCAGCGCACATCATAGTGAACAGATCGAACTCCTGGTCGAGGGGACAATTTACATATTAGGCTCTTATTGTATAGGAAGGATTACAGATGCCCTCCTTTTTTCCCCTGTTGCCCCCCTCCACCTGGTTCCTACCCCACCCCAGGCCTTCACCACCTTTTTGTCTGTGTCCATAGGTAAGATCTTTGGTTAATCTCTTCCTGCCCCCCCCCCCATCCCCTCTTCCCTCTGAGATTCATCAGTCTATTCCACACTTCCATGCCTCTGATTCTGTTTTTTTGTTTGTTAGTTTGTTTGTTTTGTTTCATACATGAAAAGACATTTTTTTATTGTTTTACTATATAACATAGTAGTGAATATACCTGATTGCATTTTCTCAAATGGCAAATGAGAAATGGGACAGCATTTTACTGAAAACCTCAATATCATCTGTCTTTTGGAGGATTCAGTTTCCTACGATGTGTATGATACTGTCCACAAGGATACCAATGGTGCTTAGTAGTAAAGAACATTTTGCTAAGTTGTTCTATCATGGATCCTTGCTCAAAGTGTTCATCTTTTTCTTCTAATCTGGTTTTTGGTGTTTGGTCCTGTGTTTCTCCATAATTATGCACAAGATCTGGCCGAGGGATAGGTTTAGTGTCATCCTTCACAGAAGGATGGTAGTAAACTATTGTCGTGCCATCAGATGTCAAAGCAAGTTCTACTTCGCAATTATAGTCATCTGGAAGAGAAGAGTATGTGGATTTATGACAAACACAATATAAAGGTCCATTTTGGATTGGAAATAAATATTTCAAGACAGTTCTGTTTGATATTGCCCATTTCACTGCTGATACGTCCATGGTGAATCAAGATGCTTATCAGATGGTATGGAAAAAGATTTGAAGAGAATATGCTTTTATAATTTGCTTCTAGGCATACCTGTTTTTAATCCCTCTACAGCTGCTCACTGCGAGCCCACCATCTTTCCTCCAGCTGGGTCCTAGGAGACATCACTCCTGCCTCTGATTCTGTTTTATTCACCAGTTTATTTTGTTCATTAGATTTATTTATTTTTATTTTTAGATTCAATTATTGGTAAATATATATGTGTTGCCATTTTATTGTTCATATTTTTTATCTCTCCATGTTCTCCTTCTCCTTCTTCTCCTCCCCTTCCTCCTCCTCCATCCTCCTCCTTCTCCTCCTCCCTCCTCCTCTATCCTCCTCCTCTTTCTCCTCCTTCCTCCTTTTTCCTCCTTCTTCCTCCTCCAGCTCCTCCTCCTCCTTCCTCCTCCTTTTCCTCCTATCCTCCCCTTCTTAAAGAATACCCTTCAACATTTCATGTAATACTGGTTTGGTGGTGATGAACTCCTTTAGCTTTTTCTTATTTGTGAAGCTTTTTATCTGACCCTCAATTCTAAATGAGAGCTTTGCTGGGTAAAGTAATCTTGGTTGTAGGTCCTTACTAATCTTCCTGGTTGTTCACTTTGAATATTTCTTGCCACTCCCCGCTGGCCTGCAAAGTTTCTGCTGAGAAATCAGCCAACATTCGTATGGGCACTCCCTTGTAGGTAACTAACTGTTTTTCTCTTGTTGCTTTTAAGATTCTCTCTTTATCTTTAACCCATGGTATTTTAATTATGATGTGTCTTGGTGTGGACCTCTTTGGGTTCCTCTTGTTTGGGACTCTGTGCTTCCTGGACTTGTAAGTCTATTTCTTTCTCCAGGTAGGGGAAGTTTTCTGTCATTTCTTCAAATAGGTTTTCAATATCTTGCTGTCTCTCTCTTCTCCTCCTGGCACTGCCGTGATGCAAATGTTGGTACTCTTGAAGTTGTCCCAGAGGCTCCTTACAACTATCTTCATATTTTTTAATTCTTTTTTCTTTTTTTCTCTTCTGGTTGGGTGTTTTTTGCTTCCTCATATTTCAAATCTCATTTCTTTGATTCTCAGTATCCTCTACTCTACTGTTGAATACTGTAAATTATTCTTTATTTCAGTTAGTGTATGCTTAATTTCTGACTGGTCCCTTTCCATGTCTTTGAAATTCTCACTAAGATCCTTGAAAGTCTCATGAAGATCCTTGGGTAACTTTATGACCGTGATTTTGAACTCTGTATCCAGTAGTTTGCTGGCTTCCATTTTTTTCATTTGTGACATGTTTTTGGTTTTCACATTTTGGCTGCTTCCCTGTGTTTGTTTCTGAGTATTAGGTAGAGCTGCTATGTCTCCTGGAATTGGTAGAGTGGCCTTGTGTAGGTGGGCTCCTGTGTGGGCTATGTGCAAAATCTTATTCTTGAGCCTTGATCGCTGTTGGCATCACTGGGAGGAGTTGGCCTCCAGGCCAATTGACTGTGAGGACCAGCTGCAACTATAGTGGGAGAGCTGCTATGCAGGAAACACCCCTATGGAGCAGGACTTGCTTCAGTGAGGATCTGGTGGTCACTGAGTTTGCCTCTGGAGTGTGTCACTTGTGGATGTGTAGAATTGTAATCTGCAATGGTCTGAAGCTGTCCACTGGGTGCACTGGCTCTAGGACCTTCAGGGAGGAGCAAAGTTAGCCACTGCCTGGGGCCACACAGCAGGAGCTACAGAAGGATCTGCATACAGCTGCTATTTGCTGTTGGTAGTGGGCTTGGAATTCTCAGGTGAGGCCCAGCTGTGAAGTAAGGCAAAGTGCTGGATCTTTTGCCTTTTAATGATAGGTTTGGGGCACACTGTCAACAGCTACCGCTTGTTTGAGAGATTTTAGCAAAGTCTGAAGCCTGAGAGCCAAGACAGGACATTCATATGGAAAAGCTGCTGCAAACAGGTTGGGTGGGGCTGCAAATTGGATGGAACGGTGTCTCAAGTAATCACCAGGCTGGAGCAAACAGTGTGCTCCAGGCTGATATGGCTGCCTGCTCTGAGACAGGGGATGTCCCAGCACAGGAATCCCTGTCTGGGAAAAAGCCATCCCCAAGTCCTGCCCAGATGCCAGACAATCCATTTCCTCCCTCTATGTATCTGGGTCCCCCAATGCTGCCCGGTGCTGGCAGTCTGAGTAAGTTCGTTTGCCAGCCCTTTAAATGGAACACCTGAGTCTTCAGCAGCCTCTGTGTCACTCAGCTACAATCCCGCTGGTTTTTACAGCCTGTAGTTGTGGAGAGTTCTCTTCCCAGCTCTGGGAGCCTGGGCTGGGGGTCTGGTATGTGGCTGGGATCCCTTGCTCCTCCTGAGTGGCCCCCTCAGAGAAAATCTCCCTCCCAATTAAGAAAACACCACACGTGTTGGACCAGCCCGTTCTGTGCCTTTACTCCTCCTACCAGCCTCTGTGTGCTTTCTTCTTTACTTCTCTAGTTGTAGGACTTCCAGGCAGCCAGCTTTCAGGCAGTTCTGGGTGATGGTTGTCTGTATTTTAGTTGTAATTTTATTCTGGTTGTGGGAGGCAGTAAGTACAGGAGTTTACCTACACATCCATCTTAGTTCTCTTGTGAGTTTTTGATTATTGATTCTATTTTGTTAGTAATTATCAGTCTGTTCGAATTTTCTGTTTCTTCTTGATTCAGTCTTGGAAGATTATGTGTTTCTGGGTATTTATCCATTTCTTCCTGGTTGTCCAATTTGTTAGCATATAATTGTTCATATTTACTTTTAATCCTTTGTGTTTCTGTAGTGTCAGTTGTCATTTTTCCTCTTTCATTTATGGTTTTATTTATTTTTTAGCCCTGTCTCTTTTTCTCTTTATGACTTAATTATAGGTTTATTAATTTTATCTTTTCTAAGAACCAGGTCTTGGTTTTATTGATCTTTTGTATTGCTTTTGTAGACTCTATTTCATTTATTTCCACTCTGATCTTTATTAGTTCCTTTTTTCTACTCACTATGGGCTGTTTGTTGTTCCTTTTCTAGTTCCTGTAGGTATAAGATTAAATTATTTATTTGATATTTCCTTTTATTTTTCTTTTTTTGAGATAGTCCTATATTGATATAAATTTCCTTTCTTAGAGCTTCTTTGGTTGTGTCCCATATCTTGGGTGGTGGTGTTTTTATTTTCATTTGTCTCAAGGAATCTTTTTATTTCTTCCTTAATCTCATTGTTAACTTATTTACTGTTTAATACTATGTTATTTAGCCTCTATGTCTTTATATGTTTATTAGTTATCTTTTTGAAATTGATTTTTAGTTTCATACCATTGGAATAAGAAAAGATGCTTGAGCCCTAGCCAGTTTTCTCAGTGGATGAACATCAGTCTTTGGGCTGAAGGGTCCCGGGTTCAATTCCAGTCAAGGGCACATGCCCAGGTTGCCAGCTTGATCCCCAGTAGGGGGTATGCAGGAAGCAGCCGATCAATGATTCTCTCTCATCATTGATGTTTCTGTCTCTCCCTCTCCCTTCCTCTCTGAAATCAATAAAAATATATTTATTTTTTAAAAAAGAAAATCCTTTTTTAAAAAAAGGAAAGATGCTTAGTAATATTTCAATCTTATATTCATTGAGACTTGTTTTGTGATTTAACATGTGGTCTATCATAGAAATGTTCCATGTTCACTTGAAAAGAATGTATATTCTATTACTTTGGGTTGAAAAGTTCTAGGAATATAAATTAAATATCTGGTCTATCATTTAAGGCTACTGTTTCCTTGTTGATTTTCTGCCTGGATGAGCTATCCATTGGTGTCGATGGGTTGTTAAGTTCTCCCACTATGGTTGTATTACTGTTGATCTCTCTTTTTCTGTCCAATAATACTTGCTTTATAAATTTAGGTGCTCCTACTTTAGGTGCTTAAGTGTTTACAAGGGCTATATCCTCTTTTGGGATTGATCCCTTTATATTTACTGTCCTTCTTTATCTGTTATTATGGCCTTGGTTTTCAAGTCTCTTTTTTTTTATATAAGTATTGCTACTCCAGCTTTTTATTTTTCATTTTCATTTGCATGAAATATCTTTTTCCCTCCCTTTAGTTCAATCTGTGTGTGTCTTTCTATCTAAAGTGGGTCTCTTGTAGGCAGCATATGTATGGGTCTTGTTTTCTGTGTCTTTTCATTGAAGCATTTAATCTGTTTACTTTAAAGTAATAGGTATGTAGTTATTGCCATTTTGTTAATCATATTTCTATCATCACCTTTTTCTCCTCCTTCATTTCTTATCTTATCCCCCCCTCTACTCCCTCCTCCTCCCTCTTTTAACATTTCTTGTGATACTAGTTTGATGATGTTGAACTCCTTTATCATTTTCTTGTCTGAGTTCTCTATCTCTCCTTCTATTCTAAATCATAGCCTTGCTAGTAGAGTAATTTTGCTTGTTGACCGTTGCTTTTCATTACTTTGAATATTTCCTGCCTATTTCTTCTGGCCCCCAAATTTTCTGCTGAGAAATCAGCTGACAGTTATATGGGTGCTCCCTTGTACCTAACTAACTTACTTTTCTCTTGCTGCTTTTAAGATTTTTTTTTTGTCTTTAACCTTTGGCAATTTAATTATGAAGTGTTTTGCTGTGGGCCTCTTTGGGTTCATCTTGTTTAGGACTCTGCACTTCCTGGACTTGTATGTCTATTTTTTTTTTTTTTTTTTGCCTTTTTAGGGAAATTTTCTGTCATTGTCTCTTCAAATAGGTTATTAATTCCTTGCTCTCCTCTTCCCCTGGTACTCCTGTGCTATGAGTGTTGATGTCCCAGAGTTCCCTAAACTATCCTTATTTAATTTTATTCTTTTTTTTTTCTGTTTTGATTGTTTTTGTACCACTTCGTCTTCCAAATTGCTGATTCGAACCTCTGCTTCATCTAATCTGCCAATTTTTCTGTCTAATGTATTCTTCATTTTTGACTGGATCTTTTTTATGGTTTTTATCTCTTTGTGTAAGTTCTTAATGAGTTCATCTATTCTTTTTTTTAATTAAATCTTTATTGTTCAGATTATTACAGTTGTTCCTCTTTTTTCCCCCCATAGCTCCCCTCCACCCGGTTCCCAACCCATCCTCTGCCCTTACCTCCCCCCCACCCACTGTCCTCATCCATAGGTGTACGATTTTTTTCTAGTCTCTTCCCACACCCCCCACACCCTTTTCCCCCCAAGAATTATTCTGATTTCATTGATCATCATTTTATAACCAGCGTTTTGACCTCTGTATCTAGTAGATTGCTTTCCTCCATTTGTTTAGTTCTTTTTCTGGAGATTTCTCCTGTTCTTTCATTTGGGACATGTTTCTTTATCTCCTCATTTTGGTTGCCTCCATGTGTTTGCTTCTACACAATAGGTAGATATGCTGTGTCTTCCAATCTTTGCAGGTGGCCTTATTTAGTAGGTGTCCTATAGGACCCAGTGATGCAGTTTCCCTGTTCACCTGAGTTGGGTGCTCCAGCAGTGTTCCTTGAGTGGGTTGTGTACTCTCCTGTTGTATTTGAGCACTTCAGTGGTTTGGATTGGCCCTTAGCCTGACTGGCTATGAGGACTGGCCCTGACTATGACAGACAAGCTGTTATGCAGGGTTGACTTCTTAAAGTGAGATTCACTGTAGCAGGGCTCTAGTGCCTGCTGACTCCACCCTTTTGTTGTATCATTTTCGGAGCGAATTGAGGTGGTGCTCTAGTGTGGTCTGAAGCCAGCCACTGGGTGTATTGGGCCTGGGCCTCTTGGGAGGAGCTCAGGTGCAGTCCTAGGTAAGCTGCTCCCTGTGCCTGACCTAGACCTACCTAGCAAGAGCTACAGAATTATCTGAGGTTGATAGCTGTCTATACTGGACTCCCAGGAGGTACCTGAGAGAAGCCACACTACGAAATGAGGCTGACTGCCACTAGTGCCAGTCTGGGAGACACTTAGTATGGGTATAGGGCAGTGGATGGTGAACCTATGACACGCGTGTCAGAGGTGACACGCGAACTCATTTTTTTGGTTGATTTTTTTTTGTTAAATGGCATTTAAATATATAAAATAAATATCAAAAATATAAGTCTTTGTTTTACTATGGTTGCAAATATCAAAAAATTTCTATATGTGACACGGCACCAGAGTTAAGTTAGGGTATTTCAAAATGCTGACACACCGAGCTCAAAAGGTTCGCCATTACTGGTATAGGGTATGCCAAGGCCAGCTGCTGCTTTTGGGGGGTTTTGGACTTTACAGAGAGTTTTAGGGAAATCCGCAGCACTGGCCAAGACCAGCCACATGTGAGGAATACCCTCTGTAAGGGGTTCAGGCCTGTGTGTGAGTTGGGTTGTGCAGGTTCTCAGGGAATCCCTAGGGTAGGGTAAGTTGGATGGAGACTCATATTTGGTGCTTGCCTGTATCTGCATACTAGATGGGGAAGGGCTCAGCAGAGGAACAAAATGGGGCCCATCTGCTGACCCTGTGAGGGGCAGAAGGGCACTCTACAAAGGAACAATGGCCTCTGACAGCACATCTGTCTGGAGGAAAGATGCCCATGCAGCCCTTGCCGTTGAGGTAGGCAATTCAATTCCTTCCTGTATGTCCCTGGCAATTTTGAGCTGCTGCCCTAGTACTGGAATTCAGCAAGTGAGTCTGTGTAAGTCTGTGTGCGGGCTCTTTAAGCAGAACCCTGGGGACTCCAGCGACCTCCAACTCACTCAGCCACAATCTGTGTTGGTCTTCACAGCCAGAAATTATGGAACTTCTCTCCCCAGCACTGGAGACCTGGGCTGGGTTACCAGGTGTGGGGCTAGGTCCCCTTGATCCATGTCTGGACCTCTAAAGTTGAGATATCTCTCCCAGTTCTTAACCACCACACATGCATGTGGGATCTGCCTGTTCTGTGTCTTTGTCCCTCCTACCAGGCTTAACATGGCTTCTTCTTTATATCCTTATTTATAGGACTTGTGTTCAGCTAGTCTACAAGGGGTTCTCAAGAGTGGTGGTTCTATAATTATGTTGTAATTTAATGTCGTCATGGGAAGAGGCAAGCTCAATGTTTATGTATTCAGCCATCTTGACCAGAATTGTTTTGTTTCTCTTGCTTCACAGAAAGAAACAGAAATAAAGGAACGATCTGTTTTTGACATCCCTATATTTACAGAGGAATTCCTGAACCACAGCAAAGGTGATTACCAAAGTATCATTCTGTGTTACTCATGTCTGTGACAGGAAATTTTGTTCTCAGGAGGAATACATTGATCAAAAGCAATGATAGTGATATTCCAAATCCTAGGACTGGTCTGGAAGAAGAAAAATTATTTGTATTTTACTCTCTAGTAAAGGTAACTACTCAAAGACCAGTGAAGGAAAACTAGCCCAGTGTTGTCAAAACTGCTTTAGTCTCTGGATCAAAGCAAATAAATGTACATCATTAATTCAGTTGCTTTTGAACTATTAACCTGGAACCATTTATACAAATGAAAGCCTACATCGGTGTCCCAAATGTAGTATAAGAGCAAAATTTGACCTCATTGTAGTAAAGATGGGAACCCAAAGCCGTGGTTACCCATTGTCCCACTGTTCCCCTGTGGAACCCCTCAGGCTTTTCATTTCATAGTTTAAAACAAACAGACAAACAAAAATACTTGGAATTGCAACTGTTCCTTGTAAATTTAAGTATAGAATATGACCAGCTTTAAGAATTAAATTAGCTCTGGGGAGCCAGGCGTTTCATTCCAAATTGCTATTTGGAGGGCTACAATGAGAATAGAGTAATGAGATGGGCTAAATTAGAGAAAGCTAAGCAGAATGTCCTTGGAAAAATTACTTGGACTCCTCAGAGATTCCTAGCGCTCCATGTGTTCTGTGTGTATCTGGGGGGATGTCCTCAGCTCGGGAGGCAGAGCTTCGCCAGCTTCGCAAATCCAACATGGAGTTTGAAGAGAGGAATGCAGCCCTGCAGAAGCACGTGGAGAGCATGCGCACAGCAGTGGAGAAGCTGGAAGTGGATGTGATCCAGGAGCGAAGCCGCAACACTGTCTTACAACAGCACCTAGAGACCCTGCGGCAGGTGTTGACCAGCAGCTTTGCCAGCATGCCCTTACCTGGTAATGCCATCCTTACCTGAGCACTTCAGAAAGTTGGAGGTGCTGTTTATATTGATACTAGAGTCCCAGTGCACGAAATTTGTGCACGGGCGGGGTGTGTGTCCCTCAGCCCAGCCTACAACTGCTCCAATCAGGGACCCCTCGAGGGATGTCCGACTGCTCGTTTAAGCCCTATCCTGGTGGGATCAGGCCTAAACAAGAAGTCGGACATCCCTCTCACAATCCAGGACTGCTGGCTCTCAACTACTTACCTGCCTGCCAGCCTGATCACCCCCTAACCATTCCACTGCCAGCCCGATTGACGCCTAACTGCTCCCCTGTCGGCCTGATTGCCCCTAACTGCCCTCCCCTGCTGGCCTGGTCACCCCTAACTGTCCTCCCCTACAGGCCTGGTTGCCCCCAACTGCCTTCCCCTGAAGGTATGGTCCCCCCCCCAACTGCCCTCCCTTGCAGACCTTGTCCCTCCCAACTGCCCTCCCCTGCAGGCTTGGTTGCCCCTAACTGCCCTCCCCTGCTGGCCTGGTCACCCCTAACTGTCCTCCCCTGCTGGCCCTGTCACTCCTAATTGCCCTCCCCTGCCGGCCTGGTCTCCCCCAACTGCCCTCCCCTACCGGTCTGGTCACCCCCAACTGCCCTCCCCTGGTGGCCTGGTCACCCCCAATTCCCCTCCCCTGCAGGCCTGGTCTCCCCTAACTGCCCCCCTCCCCCCCTGCTGGCCTGGTCACCCCTTACTTCCCTCCCCTGCCGGCCTGGTCTCCCCTAACTGCTCTTCCCTGCAGGCCTGGTCGCTCCCAACTGCTCTCGCCTGCAGGCCTGGTTGCTCCCAACTGCCCTCTCCTGCAGACCTAATCACCCCCAACTACCCTCCCTTGCAGGCCTGGTTTCTCCCAATGCCCTCCCCTGCTGGCCATCTTGTGGCGTCCATCTTGTGTCCACATGGGGTGGCCATCTTGTGTGTTTGAGTGATGGTCAATTTGCATATTACCTCTTTATTAAATAGGATTGGCATGGTGAGGCTGAAGTCTCCCCCAAAGAGAAAAATCCATAAAATAAGGGTGTTTTCACCCTCAGGGTTTTTTGTGCATCATGCAATAAAATCTCAATATTGGCTACAAATTACCCAAAATCTCAGGTTCTCTGGTCATTTAAATTTTTTCCAGCTATATTTTAATATGGCTTACTTTCTATTAGGTTTAATTTGATATTTAGAACAATGGTAACTGAGTAATAAATACTGATTTAGAGCATATAAGAAAAGTGTACTTGCTTGCTTTGTAATTTTGTTTTAATGGAAAGGAAGAAGAAAACAAACACTAGTATTTCTTATATATCTTTTCATGTTGAGGTAAGTCACAGAAGAAAACTGGGCAAGTCTCTAACCTTTGGTTAATGCAGCTAATCATACACAAAATAGAGCAATTATATACCCATCTGTTTATTTAGAGTATGTAGATTTCATTTCTTTGAGGTCTAAAAAAATCTCTCCTCTGAAATTAAAATTTTGTCTGTGAAGGAGACCATTTAAAGCAGTGGTTCTCAACCTGTGGGTCGCGACCCCTTTGGGGGTCGAACGACCCTTTCACAGGGGTCGCCTAAGACCATCGGAAAACACATATATAATTACATATTGTTTTTGTGATTAATCACTATGCTTTAATTATGTTCAATTTGTAACAATGAAAATACATCCTGCATATCATATATTTACATTACGATTCCTAACAGTAGCAAAATTACAGTTATGAAGTAGTAAAGAAAATAATTTTATGTTTGGAGGTCACCACAACATGAGTAACTGTATTAAAGGGTCGTGGCATTAGGAAGATTGAGAACCACTGATTTAGAGGCATAATTTCTTCTGCTGTGGATTCAGTTGTGTTATGGTCGAACCAAATAGGGAGGATTTTCTGACTTTTTTTTCTTATCTTATGTCAGGAAGTGGAGAGACACCTACCCTGGACACCATTGACTCATATATGAACAGACTGCACAGTATTATTTTAGCTAATCCCCAAGACAATGAGAACTTCATAGCTACTGTTCGAGAAGTTGTAAACAGACTTGATCGTTAAGGAATGGTGAGTGCTCACTGATATACTTATATGCCAGCACAACTTCAAAAATAAAATGGCCTTCGACTTTATCAGTACTACTAAAACTTTAGAATTATACTGAATAAATGAGTTGGAGATTTGATTCAAGATTCCTGTTGCATACTGGCTAACTGTAGTAAATAATGTTGGAAAACAGAATCAAAACAGTTTTACTCATGTATGCTTCAGCATAGTTTAATGGAAAGAGCATGATTTTTCTGGTTGGACCTTCATTACAGCTTTGTCACTCATTCTCCGTATTCTCGAGTGCTAACTTCCCAAAGAGTTTTGAAGAGTGAGTGAGAAACTTTGAGGAAATCACCCCCAAAACAGCACTTAAATATGAGAACAAAATAAGTATCACTTAATTTTTAAGCTTCCTTTCCCCTGGGAAATATTAATGGTAATTTACATTTAGTAGTCAACAAGACATTGTATGTATGTAAACCTACATATACAAGAAGCTTTTTATTCACTGTTGAATATTAGAGTGACAGTTGTATATTAAGAGTTAATGTGGACTAACCTTACGGTGAAACAGTTAGTACCTTGATTAAATTAATTAAAATATAAATTTTCAATAAGCAAAAATGAGAGGAGAGAGAAAATTAGCTTTTTAAAAATATATTTAACAGCTCTGGCCAGGTGGCTCAATTGGTTTGAACGTCATCCCATACACCAAAAAGTTGCAGGTTTGGTTCCCAGTCAGGGCAAATACCTACATTGTGAGGTTCAATCCCCTATGCATATGGGAGGCAGCCAATCTATGTGTGTCTCTCACATCAGTGTTTCTCTTTCTCTCTCCCTTCCTCTCTCTGTAAAAAATCAATAAACATATCCTTGGGTGAGGATAAAATATATGTATATTCAACAAATTACTAATGGTATGTGTTATGTCCTTTCAGAGGAGACAAAAAGTACATTTCCAGAAGGGATCTGCCCATGTAAACATTTTGGTACCAATGGTCAGTCATCGGGTATCATTTTTTAAATGGAACATGTATTTATACACTCAAATTCCTAGAGATAGAGTACCCTTTAGTATGCCATCCCACAAAATTGACAGCCCTTTGTCAATTAAATTGTTCTGTGCCTACAGACACACAAGCTGTGTGGAAATCCTAATATGTGGATACTAAAACAAGAGTGGGTAGCAGGATATGCTCCTTAAAATGGCCAAACCTGGGTTTGAATCTTTTATTTTTTTGTCCTGCAGGTATGTGAGCACACTCATATACATATTCATATTCATTTTCAGTATTTATTTATTTATACAAATAAATAAAATCAGTGATTCTTTTTTTAAAAATTTCATTGATTGGAGAGAGAAATTTGCTATTCCACTTATTTATGCATTCATTGGTTGATTCTTGTATGTACCCTGACTGGGGATCGAACCCACAATTTTGGTGTATTGGGACAATGCTCAAACTAGCACCAGGCTAGAGCTCCCATGATTCTTTATCTAATTAGGCAATATCTGCTAGCAGAAACAAAAGCAGTAGTCTTTATCCTTCTTGGCCATGCCCTTGGATGATAACCAGACAAGGCAATTCATTATACTTTAGCCTCAGCCATGCTCTGATGGAGAAAGAACTACTGTTTTTCTAGTAAGTGGTTAGATGGAAGGGACTATACTTATAAGATATGGCCGTACTGCCTGCAGAATAAAGCACTAGCATTACTGCTGCTTTTTGTGAAGGGAACAGCTTGTAAATCTAGGCCTGGGATTTTTGAGGAGCTCATCATCTTTCTCATTTTCACATATTGTTTTCTTGTGGGCTTGAAAAGAGAGAAGAGAGCTGGGAGAAACAGTGTAGGAGATTGTGAAAGAACACAATAACAGATAACATGGTGTCGCCTCACAAAGGTATAGGGCAGTTATTTTTGAGCCAAAAGTGGTTTTCTGTTTTGAGCATTTTGCTAATAATAAGATGGTCCTAATACTTTACCAGTCTTAGGGATATAAACTATAGTATCTTTTCTGAAGTGTCTTTTTTTTTTAATGTCTTTACCAATTTTTTTTTGTTTGTTTTTGAGAGAGGAGAGAGAGAGACAGAGAGACCGAGAGACTGAGAGAAACATCGATCTGCTGTCTCCCACACATACCCCAACTGGGACCAGTAACCTTTTGGTGCACGGGACAATGCTCAACCACTGAGCAACACTGGCCAGGGCCAAAGTGTCTTTGAAAACCTAGAATGTTATTATTCTTTATTTTAAACTACAAATATTTTGCCCTTGAAAAAATAATACCTGAAAATGAATTATTTTATTACTTACAGGTTCTTACAGTCTAGCCATGCAATCATAACTAAAACTGGATACCCCAGACCCTCAAAACTGTCAAACAAAACGTTATAAATACTACAATTAATACTAGCTTGGCTTCATTATACAAATATGTACAGACACCTAGGCCTGATGTCCTCAGCATTTGTGGTTCCACTGTCAGGAGCCAGTGAGTGAAGGGAAGCTAATGGTCTCCCGTATTAGAGGAGCAAATTAGCACTAAAAGGGACCTTTAGAAATTCTAATATTTTTACATATAAAGAAACTGAGTTCCAAAGAGGCGAAATGTCTTACCTGGAAATAGCTATGTAAACGACTGCAGAATCCAGGTATAGAACACATATATCAAAACTCTGGATTAGTGGAGTTTCTAAAACGTTATTAAGGAGGTGGGAGATGTGTAAAGGGGAAAGCACTAAAAATTTTTAGAATGAAAGCATTAAGATAAATAAGAGGTAAATAGAAAAAAATTACAATATAGTAATTATAATGTTATAAAATTTTGGTCAACCAAGTAAAAAGTTAGTTTTATAGATTTGCAATGGAAGAATTATCCCAGTTGGCATCTTGCTTTGTGGCTAACCTGTACCTAGAAAAAAAAAAATGGCTCTGAGAGGCCTCGGAGGTGATTTCATGTTGACAAGTGACTGCTTTATATACAAACTATCAAAATCCATATGTTGCTTGATTTCAATCTAACTGAATGATAAATATCTGGCTGTTTGAGGGTTGGGAAAAAAAACTTAAGTGATTGCATTTTTATCAGTGTAACAAGATTTATTGATCATATGCACATAATATATGCACATGCAGAGATTCTTAGACTTATACTTAAAGAAAAATGATTTTAATTGACCATCTACTCTTTGGACTAAAGTAGAGTACTAATTTTCTTTCATCAGATTTGTCCCTGATAGTTGCTTATCTGTGTTCAGCTAAATAATTTTCCTACATCCCCATTTCTCTCTCTCTCTCTCTTTCTCTCCCTCTCTCCCCCCCTTTTCTCCCCCTCCCCCACACCTACAGGTATTAGAGCTCCAAGATGTGAGGAAGGAGAAGCCATCTCTGAAAACTTGAACTGAGTAGAAGCAGAGGAGTACAGATGACTCTGCTTGTGAAGGAACTATCAGCTGTGAGTTAAATGCCTTCACCCAGAAAGCCATATGAGGGAGCGGCAAAAAGAACATGTTTATGAGCTTCCTATAGAATCCTCTTTGCGAAGCTTTGAAAGTGTGCAGCCACTCTCCCAAGTCTTCAGTTTTCTATCATCTGCTTTTCTGTTAAATTGGATCTGCATATAATCTGTTGTCATCTTCTGCAGCATAAAGGAAGCCTTCTCATTGTTCTACAGATTTGGACTCTTTTATTAGTGGCACTCTGGTTTTCTTATCTACATGTCACTTTTTTAATGCCTTTGGTTGTTCTTTTTATTCCCTTAACCCCCACCAAGTTACACATCTTCATTTTCTGACCTCTGGGCTTTGTTGCTCAGCAGGGTTCTGAAGGAGAGTTTCTCTTATTGGACAGGCCCAATCTTCTGTCTTTAGCCTACTTGACTCCAAAGAAAGGAGCTTCTTTCTAACTAGGTTCTGTGGTGGAGACTGTTTCCTGTCCCACACAGTGTGCAGTGGGTGCCAGCCCTCGTGGAGGCTTTGTGATTGCTACCCTGAGAAGAAGCTTTCCTTCCTCCTCAGTACTGCCTGCTGTTTTCTGAGCTTAACTCCTACACATACCCTGCATTCCAGCCCAGGTTCTTCTGTTCCCATCTGTCGACAATGTCTTCTGGAGCATTTTTTGCTGTGGAAAAAGTCATTGGTAATTAGGAGAGAACAGAAAAAGTAGTCTCTCATTTGGCATTGGGGGGAAAAAAAGGTTTATCATAAGTAAAACTGACTCTGCTTTAGGTACACTGATTCATGGATGTGGATAGGCAGAGATGTTATCACAATAGTCTCTTGAGCTGACAAGAAAGGACACAGAGGAATTCCCATGTCCTTTGTCTTCCTTCTATAACCATACTGTAGAATCTATTGCAAAAGGACAGGCTTTCCTTCCTTTTCCCCCTTTAGTAAGTACATTTTTTAAAAAAACACCAAAAGAAAAGAGGGGTTCCTGATTCACACCTAAAGGTTTGGTTTTTGTCTTGATGCTCTACAGCACAAGACTGTGTGTTGCAGCTCTGGTCTTTGGAACCAAAGCCAGGCATGCTCAGCCCATTGTCCAGGCACCACACTACTAAAGCAGGTGGACGTGTGGCCTCCTCACAACATTCTCACAAATCAGGGTGCAAGTCGGAAACCCCCTGGTGACATTGCTGTACCATCCTGTCTTTTTAGCATTGCTGTACCATCCTGTCTTTTTATCTGATTTCTTCAATAGCCCAAAGAGGTGGTGAGATAGCCTTTTTAATTTAATTTTTAAATGTATTTTTATTATTGATTTCAGAGAGGGAGAGAGAGACAGAAACATCAATGATGAGACAGAATCACTGATCAGCTGACTCCTGCATGCTCCACACTGGGGATTGAGCGTGAAACCCAGGCACGTGTCCCTACTGGGAATTGAACCATGATCTCCTGGTTCATAGGTTGACACTCAACCACTGAGCCACACCAGCCAGGTAGGACAGCCTTTTTTAATGTCTCATATGAGCACACATCAAATTTCCATTCACTGAAGCCCACATATCACCACTTGGCAATATTTTAGAATAAGAGCCCATCATTATCTATGGCTTATTGCTATAATCCTAGCCTACTAATCTGCTTTTTTCCGTATTTTTCTATTCTGTTCTCACCTGTCACTGCTGGTGCTGTCACTTCTCTCAGATTCTTTGCCTGCTAAATCCAACCTAGAACCCACTGTCTATAGCAGAAGGACATCCAAGACAGTTCTGGGAATTTGTGACTGCCCTCTGCCAGATACCTTCTGATTTTCCTTCCTCCTGATATTTCTCTTGTTTCTTCCTCCTGTTAGTTTTGTGCTGCTATGTTAGAGTGCTCTTAACCAGGAAAGGCTATAACTTAGTCCAAGATCATCATTCTCCTGACTCTAGATATAGAACACCTGACATTGGCTTAAAACATCTGCATATTCAGGAATGCATGAGATCTTGAAAAAGCCTACAGTCTGAAATCATTTTCACAAAATAAGCAGCCTGCTTTTTGAAATGCTGGCTCTCCCAGCACCTATATCCCTAACTCACTGGTGACTGGGATTCAACTGCCACAATACCATCAGGTCCCATAAAGCACGTCTGTGTTGCCTCCTCTCTCCTCTGTGACCAACCAGGAGGTAGCAAATGAGGTTTCAGACTAACATGATACCTAATTCATGCTTTCCGATAACCTTATCGATATTACTGCATTTATGGTCTTCTCAAGAAATCAGTTGTTCCCTATTCAATGTTACAGATTTTTTTTTTTTTTATTAAAACACAAGGGGCAGCTAAGGAAAGTGAGACAAAGTGTTTTATTTCTCACAAAATTAAATTTTAGAAAAAATATGTGTACATATATTTGGAACTGTTGAATTGCCAAGTTTTCTGTACAAATGTTTTTGTAATTAAACTTTTGTATTATTTTTTGTTTTTTAAGAAGTCAATATGCTTGCTTGACATCTGCCTTATTAAAACTTTTATGTTGAATCCATCCTATTCAATTTTATCTGCATTGTAATGAAAAAACTCCTACCTCTGCCTTTTCATCTTAAAGATTGTCAACCCTACATTAATTATTGTCTGTTATGCTTTTAAAACAGTAACACAATCATTTTACTAATTTCTTATTCAAAATGTATCTCAGCCTGTTTGAGAATTCAGCTCTTTTAAAGTATTTTATAACAATACCATGAGCTGTAATTCATTTTAATATAGCACTAAGTATTCTGGAGGCAACTTAAAAGAAGTCTGATTTTTCTTTGTTGTTTTTTTTGTTAATCCTTACCTGAGGATATTTTTCCATTGATTTAGAGAGAGTGGAAGGGAGGGAGGGGGAGAGAGAGGAAGAGAGAAAAAGAGGAGAAAGAAAGAGAGTGAGAGAGAGAGAGAGTGGGTGAGAGAGATACATTGATTGGTTGGTTGCATACCACGTGCATCCCAACTGGCCCAGGTATCAAACCCGCAACCCAGGTATGTGCCCTTGACTGGAATTTGAACCCGAGACCCTTTTGTCCACAAGCTGACACTCTTAACCACTGACCAACACCGGCCAGGGTAGAAGTCTGGCAGTGTGGCTCAGTTGGTTGGAGCGTTGTCATTGGAGTGTCATATCCCATACACTGAAAGGTGGAGGGTTCGATCCCCAGTCAGAGGTGCATGGGGGAGGCAGCCCTGACTGACCCAGGATTGAACCTGCCACCTGGGTATGTGCCCTCACTGGGAATTGAACCTACGACCTTTCAGTGTACAGGATAACGCTCCAGTCAACTGAGCCACAGGGCCAGGGTGCCACCATGCTTTTAAAATCCTAGGGTGAGGTAACCTGGCTTCCTCAGCCTGATGCTGTCCAAGAAAACAGTTGTGTGGCATTGGGCAAGATTTGCTTTGTTCCAACACTAATTTCCTCTTTTTTTTTTTTTTAGTTGGTTTTTGTGTTTTTGATTAATCCTCATTGGAGGATATTTTTTTCCATTGATTTTTAGAGAGAGTGGAAGGCAGGGAGAGAGGGAGAGAGGCATTGATTGATTGCCTCCTGCACGTGCTCCGACCCAGGCCACGGATTGAACCTGCAATCCAGGAACATGCGCCCTTGACCAAGATTCTAACCCATGACCCTTCAGTGTGCAGGCCAACACTCTAATCATAGAGCCACACTGGCCAGGGCTAGTTTTCTCTTCTGACCTAACACAGGCCTCAGCAATTTTACACTGTTGTTAGAAAGATAGAATTGGCTTAACAGAATTGACCCTACTTGGGAGGACATGAAGACTTTGCTAAATGAATACCAAAAACTATTGAGGTAACTCAGGATTGGACTTGACAACAATTTAACAAACCCAAATCAGCAAAAGATTAAACAAGAAATGTGTCTCTCTCTCAGAAAATTATTCCAGAGGTTGGCAATCCAAGATCAGTATAGAGCTCCTCTGCCCCATAACATGGTTCCATTTTCAACGTCACCTCATGGTCCAAAATAGCCACTTGTCCATCAGTCATCATTTGAAATTCTTGGCAGCATAAAGAAGAGGGCAAGGACAAAATGGGAAAATCTAGCTAAGTCAGCATACTGTAAAGAGTCTTTCTGGAAATCACATTCACCCCTTCCAGAACTGTCACATGACTAACAGCTAGCTATAATGGAGGTCAAGAAATGTCATCTTTCCTTGGATATTACTGCCCCCAATAATAAGCGGTTTTAGTTGATAAAGAAGGAGAAAATGACTATAGAGTAGGCAACTGACAGCTCAATTCATGATTCATATTTCTGACTCCATGTGCATGCACTAAGGCAAGGCATGTTGTATTAGTGAGCAGGATACATTATCTTGCTTTTGCCTCTTGGCCATCTGGGAATGATCATATACTTCTCTTTTTTTTTCTTTATTGATTAAGGTATTACATATGTGTCCTTGTTCCCCCATCCCCCCCCCCCAAAGCCGTCATGCCATCATATACTTCTTTGGCACTTTTCCCCAAAAAACAGTTGAAAACTAGCTGCATTCTGAATCAGCATTTCCTGTCCCCACCTTAGCTTCTCTCCAACCCCTCATCAGCTGGTGACCAGTCTTTTTTATTAAAAGTCAGCATAAACAGGCCCTGACCGGTTTGGCTCAGTGGATAGAGCGTCGGCCTGCAGACTCAAAGGTCCCAGGTTTGATTCCAGTCAAGGGCATGTACTTTGGTTGCGGACACATCCCCAGTAGTGGGTGTGCAGGAGGCAGCTGATGGATGTTTCTCTCTATCCCTTTCCCTTCCTCTCTGTGAAAAATCAATAAAATATATTTTTTTTAAAAAGTCAGCATAAACAGGTGGTAATATTTCCCCCATTTTCTAAATGTTCAGCATCTGCTAGATTAAGACAACACCAGGATAATCTTTCCCTGAGGGTGGAGAAAGTGAAGTGTTGCTTGGTAGAAAAGTGCAGAACAGCCTCGTGCCCTCTAAAAGGATTTCATGCAACTGACAGTTCTGAG